TTAGGTATTCAATTAGTAATTGGCTCATTATTTGAATAGCAAAAATGTTATTCAGGAGAGTGGTCATGTGCAGATATACCTCGAAAACTTCAAAGGTTCATAAAAATACTCATACATTAGTCAAAACCAACCTTTTCTGTATATTCTTTTAAAGATTAGTGTATTTATTCGAGTACCTATCTTAAGAGCTCTTTTACAAAATTGCGCCGCTGCCGTACTGATCGGCGCGTAGATAGATTTGCACTAGTATATATTGCATTTTACGGGTGACGTTTCGAGTCTTATAAAATAATTATTAATGAACTAATTATAAAAATATATACATATTTCAGTAGTTCAATGATGGTAAATTAAATTTATTAAAGTTTTTGATAGTAATTCTATTTAATTCAATATCAAAATACGAGGTAAACCTGCATTATTTCTTGGGAAAACTCACGGAGGTAAGATGTTTTTTTTTGGTAATTAATGAAATAGAAAATCAAAATTCTAATACATAATGTTACAACAAAAACATATTTCTGATGTCCTACTAATTAATTTGATCTAATTTATTGAACATTATTGAGAGATTGAGGCGTTAGAAGTTGTGCATATTATCGTTTTTTCCGTAAACTAGCTGCAGTAGAACGATCAGTACAAAAAAAGGAAAATAGTATTTGCAAATATTCTACATTAACTTACAATAGAAATAATAAATTTACCGTTTATTTCTATTGGAAATTGATAAAATCTTTTCGAAGGGGATAAACGAGGCGCTCAAAAATTACGATTTTTGCAAAAAACGTGAAAGGGCTTTTAAATGAAAGCCAATGCCCGTAGCATGAACACCTCATGTTAAAGTACGTTTTTTATCGCGTCCAACTCTCAAACTCCATAGTAATTTGACAATTGAGCGTGATTAAAATTAGTTATATATCATATCGCGGTGCTCATGGTAGGGGGGCTAAGTAAATGGGCCTTTTTCATTTTCTTACGAAATATATTTTTCTGAAAATTTTGTGTCATTTTATAAGACGCTGCCTACATACATCAATAAAAATAAATTCAAATCAATTTCTTTTTGAACGGTTAACCTCGATTAACTTTTTAACAGTAGGTCATTGGGTCAAATCTATCAGCAATGATTTAATTAAAAAAATCCTTAAATATCTGCGTCGACTTTTCCTGTAACATTGTATTCTTATTTGTCTCATATTTTTCATGGTTATCAAACTATCTGCTCTTATAGAGTGCGAATGCTAAAACGATTTGTCGCCCGGAATACATCTTAGTTTTAAAGTTTAAAGTAAGGTACACTCGCGCGCAACTTCGTTCGAGAACTAGGAAATACGAAGCTTATAACAATAATTGTTAACGCTTATTATGAAATGCGACTTTAATATTTAAATAATGCTATAAAAGACAAAAGAACTACGACTTACGACTTTATAGTCGGATAAGACTTAAGTAGTTCTAAACGTAAATAAAACTCCCGAGAAACTAAGTAGGTAATTAGGGGCCTTCCGATTTATTAATGTGTCCAACAACGAAAGAAATGAAAAGGTATAAGTATATATAGAAACATAAGTACATACAATACAATTTAATATTTTTTGGGCAATGGTGTAAAAAGTACATTTAATATTAAGACGTTAAAAGTAATGTACAATCAGCCAATTTGATTCCTGAGCCAGAATAAGCTTATTTTGTTACAGCCATTTCGAAACAATAAGTTAGAATTTTGTTTAAGTGCACGTATCCCTGAAAACAATATTTGTTGTTTGTTGGTTTAATCATAGATAAATGATTGGTCTCGCTTACAAGACCAATCATTCATCTATGGGTTTAACAATCAGAATGCAATCACATTTGACGTGACAGGTTTTGCCTAAAACCTGACGTTCCTGTGACATAATTTTGATAAATTATATGGTTTTTTCCCATTAAGGGCTCTTTCAATTTATGCGTTTCTTGGCGGCCTGCTGCGGTACCGAAGCGGTGCGTTTGTCGTACAGCGTACGGACGATCCTTTTTTTTCATACAAAACGCGCGGTGCGGCAACAGTCCTGTTGTTCGAGCGTTCGCGGTACCGACCGGCGCCACACTGTTGCCGCACCGCGCGTTTTGTATGAAAACAGGCCGTCAAGAAACGCATAAATTGAAAGAGCCCTTAGGATTAAGAATTTCCTTTAATCGAAAAATGATCTGTTATATTGACGATTTTAGAAGCGATTTTGAAATACAGACTTCCAAATTGAATTCGAATGTTATCTAAAACATGGTATATTTCATTACAAATAAAGGTGAATTTCAAATATCTGTTTTGACACACACACTATACATGCGCGCGCATTTAGTCGATTATTTTATGTTCAAGAGTATTTTTAATTCAAACTAGATTATATAAGTTAATTGATTTCTTTACCTCCTCATGAATCCTGTATTTAATATATCAAGGGAGGATTGCAGGTACCTATAGCACAGGTTTTCCTATTTTAGGTGCCTGCTCGCAATAATTCTTGTACTTATTTGTCACAAATATTATTTTCATATCATGTGCTTTGTATTGCATGTTTTTATGAAAAATAATTAATTATAAATTCCATTCTATTGTACTCTACAAAGGAAAACTTGTCTGTCTTGACATTTTTAAGCAAATTATCGCGCAAGTGGGTTAGGAATCAGTTGGTTCCATCGTACCTACTACTTACTGCTGCTCATGTCTTCATTGTGTTCCAACTAAATGGTCTTTAAATTAATATCTTTTAATTTCCCACTTTTACATGACTACGGTAGGTAGCTATTAAATCATCATTAGTAGAAACGACTAACTTAATATTATTTTGAAATATTAAATAAATATTAGTCAAAACACTAAACCCACTAAATGTTGTAACACAAGACGTATAGTCTATGACAACCTCTGGGACCTTTAACCCGCAAACTCGTAACTAGTTTTGTCTGTTATGACAAATGCAGCTAAAATTTGTTTTAATTCTATGGAGTTTATGGAAATTAATTTAAATATCAATGAACGACTAATAAAGATTTTTCAAATATTTATAGTTTTAGAACAAGTTTGTCAAGAATTTGTAATTTTGAGTTACTTGACCAATGCGTCAAATTTTCATAAAGGCAAATATAAGCTTAATAAGGGAAAGAGGAGCTTAAAATATATTTTTTGTATCGCAAGCGTCTATAGGCTATGGTGCCTGCTTACCATCAGTCAGGAAATAAGGTTGTTTGATACCTTTTAAACATTGAAAAAAAAAAACATTTGAATGATTTTCCATTCGCCTGCACTAAGTCCAGACAGCTATGTGACATTTCCTTGCTTCCACTATCTAAAGGTTGGTTCAAGCCACCGCTAGCTGAAAGGTCATTCCCAGTGCAGATACAACGCGTAAACTTAAAGTTTTAGCTTTGTATTATGTTGTATACAGATTGCTGGACTCATGAATAGATAGAGTTGAAGTGAAAATACTGTGGAGGTAAATATTTCATACAAACTCAACAAAAATTACTGCGAAGTAGCAACTGCAATATCTTCGTAGCGCTTGTTTTAGAATCCAGGGATATACGAGTATATTGCGGAATACTTTATCAAAATAATAAAAACATATTCAATATATTGGAGTGTTTGGAGTTATTTATGCTAAAATTATGATAAGTACCACCCTGTTTCTATATTTACTTGGATATTTTAGGAGAATTGATTTTAAAGTAATATTCAGGATAACATCCCGTAAAGTGGGTAATGATCACATCAGATGAAGCCTAATAGGCTCGGGTGTGTTTTAGTCATTAAATTCTGACATAACCCTGCAGATGGTTAAAGCCATACGTACCCCTACAAAACACCCATCCATGAGGATATCACGCCCACTCCAGCCGCCTGGGAGAAAACAAATTAGGTAAAGATTTGGTGAAAATGATTGACTAGCTGGGAGAGAAAGAAAGTGTGACGCCTTTCTTTCAGTTTTAAGCAAACGTCGACATTTATATTCTGTGACAACTTGATTAGCTGTACTGACAAACGGACAAAAAGGTTCCTTTGGCAATCTTTGAGTGCGAAATTGTAAAATGAGTCATCCCGATCAATGTTCCATTGCCATAATAAAATCAATTTGCTTATTTCAAGTCGAGTGCTTAATAAGATCTATAAAATTTACAGTAATTTGAGTTTCTCTACTAATGCGTTAAGCATGTAACTATGTCGTTTTAACCAAGTTCAAGTCCACGCGCATTTTACGAACTGCTTCTTTAAGAAGTACTTTTAATTGTCTTAATGTTTTCCAGTGAGATCTTTACTGCAATATTATGCGTTCTAAAGCTATTTAAAAACACTTTACTTCACTAATCGGTAAATTTAATCAGTACATACAAAGTAGTTATTATAAAATGGTATCGTTAATTTTGTTTTTGTAAACTGAATCAAGTACCTACCTACTGAACTTATTTTGTACTAGAGGTCGCCCGCGACTTCGTCTGCGTTAACTTAATTTCTTGCAAATCCCTCTGGAACCTAACATTTTTTGGGATAAAAGTAGCCTATGTGTTAATCTAGGGTGTCAGCTAACTCCATACCAAATTTTATAAAAATCGCTCCAGCCGTTTAGACGTGAAGAAGTAACAAACATACACACTCACATACTCACACACTCAAAAACTTTCGCCTTTATAATATTAGTGTGATATATACCTACTTAACTTAGTGTACAATAAAACGAAACGAAAAACCTAAGCCTTAGAATAATTTTGAACTATACCCAGACAAAACAGGTGTTTTGAAATTAGGTACTTTCATAATGGCCTTACGTCGGCCCGATACTGGCTTCGGTCCACGGCCGAAACTACAAACTGTTTTATTAACTTTTTTTTTCGGACCACTGAAAATAACATAATAAAACACCACTAACCCGATTGAGATCTTTTCAAGATAAACAAGCCATACTGTTTCAAGTAGACAGATTTTGACGCCCGCAGAACTCATTTCAATTCACCTCCTTTGTCAACAGCGAAGAAGAAGCGGCTGTGATGAAAGCAAACCCATGGCTGTACCACTACTACGCAGTGCAATCCAAACTACACTACGGGTTAGCATACGAAGCGGCTTCTAGAATGTACGGGCCGCCTGCCACCGAGCTCCCTGTCTACCCGCCCGCGATGCAGTACCCAGCTCCACCCGTCTGCCTCAACGGCGCCCAGCCAGTGATGATACCCAACGCTGGGCTACAACCGCACATACCCCACGTTCCAACGCACTTGGCTCCCATGCATTACGCTTACGAGAGAACTGAAAATGGTCCCGTGGATTATTCTGTGTCGCTACAAGAGAGCAGGTACCGAAAATTACTTTCTTTAAATTTTATACAGTTAAATATGTTCATTGTTTAATTATCGTGTGCTTAAATAAAACAAATAGGATCTCTTTCTTCTTTTATTTGAGAAATTTATTTAAAAAACAGTTTGTTAGTGCACCTATTTATGCAGAATTTTGTGGTTTATAAGTAGTATGAAGTAATGTTTTGCAGGATTAAAAAGTTTAAAAAAATGGAGACGTAGCGTCATTAGACACCTCCCTATTTCATACTTACATCGAATTTGTACAGCCATAACGACAAACCACATGTGTAACTTAAGCCTTCTATTTCAGGTTTCACACTATCAGAGTGGAGGATACGAGAATCCAACCTAATGCAAAACGGAAAGCGAAAAGCACCGAAGACAAACCTAACACCCCAGTACCGACTATGTCCCCCCGTTGCACTCCCTCCACAATCACATCTGGTGACACTCTAGTAGCAGTTCAAGCTGGTTCCATCACAAGTAGACGCCCAGGTTCTAAAAACTTTAACATAACTGAGACAGAGATGATTGACCAATGGAATCCCAGCCCGACTTGGTCAGAATCCGCTCTCCAAAAAGTTCCAGACGTATGCCACCAGGATTTGAGCCCTTACGTGACAACCACACCCCCAACGCCGTCTGGAACACCTTCGGCTTACACGCACAACTGCAGCCACACATTCGTGTTCGACTGGTCACCAGAGCAATATGTTCCTCACACTAACAATAGATGTAACACAGTAACCACAGAAAGTTCCTATCAGCAGACGTGGAATAGGAGTCAGCGGCCGTTTGCGAGTGAGGCTTCAGTCGACGAAAACTGTAATCCTAATAGGCTTAGTTTACCAATGAGGGTCAGTAATCCACCGCCAGCGTATAACGCGAACAGAGATGGAGAAATACTAAGAAGACAAATAGGTGAGTAAAGAGTAACAGCTGTATTTAACCTTTTTGTGTCTTAAAAGATAACAATAGTTACATAAGATACAAGAGCGGTAAGGTTACTACAAACGAGTAGACGAATGTCTATCATAGTCACGAGTTTGTAATACCAATCCGCACGAATGTCATACAACTTTTTTCAACACATTTGCAAAAAAACATTATACATAATTTAAGTAATGGAGCAATTTTTTTCTAATAAGAAAATTGCGCGCATTTCCAAATGTCGCCACGTGCGGGTGGTGCAAAATTAGAACTGCATCTTTCACCTCTTTTTCTTGTTAGTATTAAAGTGGGACACAGGTTAGACATGCTGTCGTAAAAAAAATTTTTTTAGGATAAGGTTTCAGGGCTCCACAGGGTAGCTTAAAAGTAGGGTACAGGTCAGCATTGTGAGGTTAGCTGGTTGATGTACCTCGCAATCGTATCCCCTGTCTGTACGAACGTTCTCCACTTGCCCTCAACATCAATAGGTCCCCCTATACCCCTATTTAAAATAACAAATTATCACGTTTTTTATTAATTAAAAAAATTTAAAGGCCATTCTATGAAATAGTTCATATCTTGTCTGTCACTAATGTTTCTTCAATGTTGTTTTAGATCGTCCGCATCCAGAATCGCCGGACGCCAAAAAGCCTGCGTTATAACAAACCTGTAATAATTTTATACATTAAACTTCTGTAGTAAATGAGTACTTAAGTACGTTATAGTAAAATAATCGTTACCTTGTAATTTAATAAATTTTATTTAAAGAAAAGCTCTGGAACTCTCCTGTGATCTTTGTATCGATAAGTTTGTAAAATTTTTAGCTAGATAGATTTGTTAATTCTAGTGATAAAAACATGTACATAAATACCTACTTAGTAAGTGCACTTTAGACGTCACATGTAATGTGATGTAGTTTGTTCTCTGTGCATAAGTAATTAATAACCTATAAGTTCTGTCAACGGAATTCAAAGTCTCTTTCGAATCGATTTGTGACTCTGTATTGATCGAAGCTCAAAGCTCGAATGCACATAGACATGCTGTCGCAGAAAAAGAACAATCTGGAACAATCATATGAAGCATAACATGTAGGTAGACTGTTTGTTTGTACATTGAAAAAAAATACAAAGTAAGATTCGAGGAGGTAAGTACCTAAATGTTACTTGCATTGTTCAAAATGGTACTTTACCCTTAAATAATTCGATGTAGGTACTTAAAAAGTTTCTTGTAATCTTCTTTAAGTTCTGTTACATGCCTTGAAAGAAGTTGGTTGATACATTGTTACAGTTATACTCTATGTGTAGGTACTACCCAATATATACTGTGTTGGCACATTCCTTAATTTTCTTTTGCTCCTAAGTAGTACAGCGTGGAGTAAGGTGCTGATAATATAACAAAATCCGTCCAATCTTAAAGATAATAAGTTACAAGTAATAAATTATTCCTATCTCGCTTATAAATGTGTACATATAAAATGTTATTTTGTTGTTAAGATTTTTGAGTGATAGGAATGTTTTTGTACAAATTACAGTAAGTATAAACTCTGCTATGTATATTACGAAATGGTTACTCCTGTCTGTAATACTGGTGTCAATTCTGGCATGATTCTTTAAACTTAAAACTAAATTTAACATCTGTCTCTCCTTTTCATTCTGTGTAGAGATTGACAAGGATACACTGTTGTCAAATTTAAGTTTATGTTTAGAGAATCTTGCCAGAATCGACACCAATAACTAGGTAAAACTATTTAGAATTAATTTATAACTTCTACTTTGTTGAATGAGTTTCGAAAATTAAATTAAAAAGTGAAAACACCTAATCTGAATTTTATTAAAACTACCCTATGAAGTAACGGTAAGTTATGGCGTTTACACAGGGCTGATATGACACCTCGCGCACCGGCACCAGAAGGCCACGACCACGACCCGGCCGTCCCCTTGGTCCTTGCGCCCTAGACTCTAGTTTTATTAGCCTGTGGGTAAATCAAGCGCTGCCGCCGGCCTCCCCCCTTGGTTCTTGCGCCCTAGACTAGCCTTATTAGCCTGTGGATAAATTAGGCCCTGACGACCAGAGATCGAAACTACCAGATTTACTAAAGAAACCATATGTACGAGGGGAGGTCAAAAAGTTCGCGGAATAAGAGGGAAGAGATTGAAAATAAACACCAAACCCTTTTTCCTTTTCAATATATTCTCCCTTTACCTTAATACATTTTTCAGATCTTTTAAATAACTTGTTAATACCATCGAAAAAAAAAATTGTCTTTGGTGTCAAAATAGGCCGAAATTGCGGAATTCACTTCTTCATCGTCGTAATTTTTTTTCCACGCAGCTCTTTCTTCATTTTTGGAAATAGATAATAGTCACTGGGTGCCAAGTTGGGACTGTAGGGTGGGTGGTTCAATTGTTCGAAACCGCAACGGTGAATGGCAGCCGTCGCAACATGGGCCCGTGTGAACGGGTGCATTGTCGTGCAGAAGGAGCACACCTTTTGACAGCTTTCCTCTTCTTTTTTCCTTGATGGCTTCTTTCAATCTTTTCAGTAAAGAAGCGTAGTACTATCCCGTTACAGTCACACCACGTTCTTTATAATCGATCAGTCAAATACCTTCTGTATCCCAAAAGACAGTCGCCTTCTTTCTTCTTCCTTTCTCTCTCCACAGATCTCCAAAAACTGGCGAGAACACTCGACTCGCTCGCGTTTTTGAAGTGGCGTGAGCATTCTCGGAACCCATCTTGCACTGACCTTAGTCATCCCAAGATGATGATGTAGAATATTGAAAATACTTGTTTCGCATACTCTAATCATTGCTGCAGGTTGCTTCTTCTTCAACCGGGCATCTTCCAATACAAGTTTTTCTACTTTTTCGACGATTTCCGGTGTGGTGGCCTCAATTGGGCGTCCGGAGCGGGGGTCGTCTTCAATGGAGTCTTCCTTGTTTGAAAAGACAATGCCACTTATAAACCATGGTTTTACCAGGGGCAGAGTCCGCGTAAACCGCCAACAGCTCTTGAAAAATAATCTGAGCGGTTTTCCTTGCTTGGTAAGGAACTCAATAACGGCGCGATGTTAAATTTTCTCCATACTGGCTGACTTCTTACCGATACAGTTGTTTGCAGGTCGATAACTCAAAAGTTAATGACCCGATTAGGTTCAAACTTGGTATACATATAAACTCTTAATGAGGTGCTCAAGTAGTGCCTACCTGGACGAGTAAACCTGCCCCCACCAAACCCTCCATTCCGCGAACTTATTGACCTCCCCTCGTATATTACGCACTTGGCCGCAGTGGCGAACTGGCTGCACACCGGACCGGAACGACTGGTCGTTGAGGCCAACTTACGTATAGTTTACTATGATCGCTAGGCCGCGACCAGCTATTCTCAATGTCATTCGTGAGTGAACACGCTTCGTATCGTTCCACAACTCTACACTTTTCTTCTGCAATGAATTTTGATACAAAGATTAAAGAAACGACCAGCAATATGGCCGCCAAGGCCCAACCGTAGCTTCTGTGGTCAAAGTTGCGGCCACAGCCACGACTTGCCGTGGTCGCTGCCGTCTAGTACGCGAGGTGCGTAAGGCCCGGTACAAATGTATAAGTGAGAAGCTCGACGGCGAAATGGTAAGAGCGTTCGATCTGCGATCGTGAACTTAAAGCAAATTTTTGCAACGGCCAGTCGTTGAATGGGTGACTAAAAATCTATTATCCTTATCTCTTCCATGCTTCGGAAGGTATGTTAAGCCGTTTGTATTAGCTCAACCTGCAGCCGTTAGCACCTGGCCCGCGAGATGGAATATTGCCCGAACTCCCTATTCCATCCATGGAAAAGACCTGTGGACTTTACTAATAGGCTGATGATAAAAATGATAAACGTGAGACTACAAACTACACCGCCCATGCAGCGGTGCGTGACACTGCGGGCTAGGTGAGTTTTCAACACTATTGTCTAATGTCCAGTGTGATTAATGCGTCAACAGAAACGAAAGAACTGTCCAACAGAATAAGTGAGAGTAGGGATGATGACTAATTGTTTTTCTTAGTCGATCAAGTAGATTTTTAAAAGTGTTGACATAATTAAAACATTACAGAGATATGTTGATATGAAATATGTAATGCATGACGTCACATCTTGGTACAGTTTTTGCTTAGTAGTGACGTCACGAACTCCCTCTCCCAAATTTGACACGCTTTATCTTGTCATTTTATGGTTGATTGTATGTATGGGATATACTCTAACTGACGGATTGAATAGAATTTCATTTACTTAGGTAGCTAATTGAAAAAAATACATATTTATCATTAGAAATGCATTTATTTCTAAATATAATCATTCTCATTTTAATCACTTAGTCATTCATTACCAAAATTTCAATACTCTTATAATATAATACACATAACTTATGTCAATACATTAGCATTCAGGCCTTAATCGCATATTTCTCAATAAACATAAATCCCTTGCAGTATTCTTTCTGCCATATGCTGTAGAGAGGTCATATAGTCTAAGTATTAGCCCTATATTAAAACTATCAGGAAGAGCTTTTATCAATGTTGGTACAAGCTCACTGGGTATTTTTTGCAACACCATTTGAGCCCTCTCGTTACCACATTGAACAATGTACACTAAAAATTGCAATATGAACTGCGTCTGTGGAGTGACATCCCCATTCTTGCCAGCCAGTTGGGAAAATGACTGATATAAAGTATCTAAAGCAGACTGCAATGGTTCTCTCAATACCACCCCAGATATTGATTGGCCTTGCGAGTAATACATACTACTACCATCTGAAGTATTGTCATTGAGTCGTCTGACTTTGCTAGAAGTGCACATACTATCCATATCCTCAGCATCGTCATGTCGCCGTTTACGCATATTATGAACTTTATTGCTAGAGTTACTATTTTCGAGGGCAGCATAAATGCAATAAACAGACAATTTGGCCAATATTGACGATTGAGGTTCCACTAGTTCTTCACTTAGTTTTGCATTGTACAAATATTGAGGCAAGACATGTAACAATAAAGCTTCAGTGCATTTCTCAATGTCCAAATGAAACATGGCAAGAACAATATCCACTGATCTGTCAAGGTCATCCTGATATCTAAATTTTAATGTCTCTTTCACTAAATATGTCACAAACCATACTGGGCCTGTGGTATTCAAGATACTTTCAACCACATGGGTAGCATCTATATGGAGGTATCCTCTGGATTTAATATCCTCCCAGACAGCCTGAAGCTGTTCTAACATTGGCTGGCTTGAAATGATATTGTGTGACAAAGCAGACACTTTTGATTTTGGCACAGATGCAGGGTGAACTTCATATTGCATTTTCCTAATAATCTGACACATCAATATTGCCCTTTCCTTGAAATTATCTATTTGAGTCAGCTCAACTTCAGTGGGTGGTGCCAAAAACTGTTGAACCATGTTTATTGGTTTCAAAAATGCTTCTTGATGCACAACATTTATATATGAACACAACCAAACTGAGGCACAGACAGCCAATGACGCCATTTTCTGTCGCAATGAGTCTAACATGCGTTTCACATCTGCAGCAGTGAGAGATCCTTGTTCCCATGCAAATAATATCTCCTTGACTGCCCCACTGACATTGACAGCGAGGTCATGTGGTTTCATATTTGTATTTTTGAAGTCAAAGTCTGGTGCACTTAGATGATGAATCAAAATATCTACCATTTGTTGATCACATTTCTGTAATATTTGATCTGGTGACTTGTGAATCCCTTTAAAAGGCATACATTCCCTTACCCAGTTTTCAAAGAATGAATCACCATTATCTTCTAATACGGCATCAGCACCATAATCTTGTACAATTGAGCATAAAATTAAGAATGATATATCAAAAATATAAACTTTAGATTGAGATGCTCCCTTTTCACTTGCAGAATGTAAAGCAAATTCATTAAATTTGATAAGTCTTGACACAAGTAACTTTAACTTCCCTTCTACTGTAGCAACTGCTAGAATAGTATCAAGTGTGGCTCCTCCAACTATCTGGCAGAGCATAGTGTATAGTGATTCTTGCGTTTTGTAGAAGTCACCTCCCATAGTTTTCAAGATACCGGTCAATGTAGGTTCAGCTCGAGTAATAAAACTGGGTACGGAACCTTGCAGACCGGTTGGCTCTAATTTCTGAAGCTTCACATCTTTACTTTCACGTTTTTGACCAAAATATGACAAATGACTGTCTGACAAAACATTTAATTTCACTAAAGGCTCAATCAAAGACATCACACTATTACAAGAATTCTTTGTGTCAACAATATCTAAAAGTGGTGTGGATTGCAACAGCATCTCAAAAGCTTCAACAAGTTCAACGGAACATTCATTCTCTTTGTTAGTTGTTCCACACATATTATGGAGGTAATGCATAACTTGTGGTATTTTGAGGAAAGTGAAGGCTGCCCATAGAGCTTGTTTTATAGCATCTTTACTCGAGTCATTTAATGAAATAAAACAAGCCCTAATAAGTTCACAGTAAAGTCTCGATAGAGGGTAACCTTTTATTCTTTGCACCATTAACAGTTGATTAGAGAGCTGTTGGAGATCAGCACTAGGGTTAGCCAACACATTTATTGCTATGAGAGCTTGCAAGCAGTGAGTCACTGTCTCTGGTTTATTGTTTAATGGTGCAATTTTATCTATATCCATGTTACATATTCTCTGCAACGTCTCATGAATAGTAACCGGCGCCTTGAATTGTGTATTCATCATCATGAATGCTGTGATTTCTTGACATTTTTTTGTGATCTCATTGTACTCATCTGGATCATTCTGTTTCGCGAAATAAAACATCGCGAGGAGGAAGTCTGTGTTAACAATTGAGTTAAGAACTGATGTAGATTTCTCTAGAATTTCCTGACTCTGAATAGGATTAGATGATGGGTACTTACTAAGAGAATAATGATACACTTGAAGGAGCCACAGTATGATAGAAAATACAGAAAAAGCTAGCACTTCTTCTTCCATCTTGCCCCTACATGTTATGCTGTCGAGAAACCCTTCAAGGAATTCCAATAAGGCAATAATGCAATGAGGTTTATGAAAGGCGTCGAACTTTGCGATTCTTTGAAGTACTGCAGCATACGAGACTAGGTGTGACGCCAGAGAATGTTTCAAATATGATATCACCAGTTGGTTTGCACCACAACCAACCATTGCTTGTTGGAGGATACAATCAGCGAGGTTATAAAGATCTCCACTTACTCCCCTAGGCAGGATAGTTTTGATGTTGATACCCCATTGGATATCTGTCCATCGCTCACGCCAAGCCTTTAAAATCAAGGCCTTCAAAGAGCTTGTTTTGCTAGTAATCTTCGAGGCATCCATCGTAACAATAGATTGGTTAGCCCGATTTGCACATAAATGTTATGCTTACGATAGCATGACGATAACTTTAAGTTTCTTCACTAAACATTTACACAAAACACAGTCCTCATTCATGAAAAAGTAATAGTTTTTTGTTAAAAACTGTGAAATAATTGGGAATGAAGCTCAATAGCTGACGCTGACCTGACTGACAGTGACAGATACATACTGCTTTCCCAAAGCGTTTTGCTATCAAATTATTAATATCTATGCAAAAAAAATTATTTAAAATAAGAATATATTTATTTTATTGTTCAAATGTTTACATATTTACAGGATACAATGATTTGCTTAGTTTCATAACTTTTGACTCATCATATATAACAAAACACTGAACAAAACGCTTATATGTCAAAATCCGACAATGTAAAAATCTTACCGGGGACCTACTCTGACCTCTGAACTAATTTAACTATACGATGATTCGAAAAAGTTGATTAGTTCTTTTATTTATAAAGAAAAATATTTTTGGTGATTTCTTTTCTACCAATAAATTAGTTCTATTGCATAAGTTAAGTCTATACATTCTCTATTAAATATTTATTGTATTTATAGAAGTGTTTACCCAATCAAAATGTTTTGATTATTTGTTACAGAGTAGACCCCGACAAAACCTTTCCTTCCCCTCCCCCTGTTGTTAAATCACATGTTTTTGTTTACAAACTTTTGAGTAAGTACTGCTCGAATTTAATAATGAGTTTTAGAAATTACAAAGATAAAATCGATGAAGGTGATACAGTTATTCTCTACCTAAGCAATAATTTATATGCCATAGAGGTACGGCGTGAAATTAAAAACAAAAAGGGTGAAATGATAGAAAATGTATTCCAAACACCTTTTGGTGCATTGAAAGTGAAAAATCTAATTGGAGCAGATATTGGAAGTCGAGTAAGTTACTTAAAATAATCCCGTGTGTGTCATTCAATTCATTAACATTAATTACTTAAGTTAGTCATGTATGTAGAGGTTATATTAACATTAAAATTCTAAAATTACCTAATTAAAAAAATGATTTTTCATAGTAAAAGGAATAGTCTGTTAATAAATAAAAAGTTCAAAACCAGTGCTGGCATTGAAGTAATTGAAATTAAGAATATAAATAACCAAAACTGCGCATAAGTACTTGTAAACCCATATGAAATATTACTATTAATTTAGGTGGAACTGTCTAAAGGATGGGGTCATGTTTTACAACCTACACCAGAGCTGTGGTCCCTGACACTACCTCATCGAACACAGATCATTTATACACCCGACATAAGTATGATTTTATTGCAACTCGATCTGGTGCCTGGATGTTTTGTCATTGAAGCAGGTACATAATGTATTCTAGTTGTATAGTTTTGCCACTAACTTCAAAATGTCTTAGTGTTATTGTACAACATTTTCTTTGATATTTGTTCACTGTTCTGGAAGCAAAAATTTCCTTTTTTTAATAAAAAAGTTTTAAAATAAAATAATGCTTTTTTTTGTGAATTCAAAGCAAACAAATATACTTACATTATATAAAAAACATTTATAATTTCCCCTGAGCTATGGTATCAAATTTCTTGAATTTAATTTGATTATTAGTTCTAGTCTGTGTTAAATACTTTTTATTTATTTTTTAGGTACTGGAAGTGGCTCTTTGACCCACGCTTTGGTCAGAAGAGTGAGACCTCACGGGCATGTGTACACATTTGACTTCCATGAACATAGAGCTAAAATTGCCAAGGAGGAGTTTGAAGATCATGGAATTGCTAATTTTGTCACAGTAAGTGCTATAAATATGCATATTTAATGTTTCATTGGTGCCAATTCTGGCGTCATTCTCTAAACTTAAAACTAAATTTAACATCAGTCTCTGCTTTTCATTCTGTATGGAGAATGACAAGGATATACTGCTGTCAAATTTCACGCTAGAATCGATACCATTATCATAAAGAAACTTTAGCTTCACTTGTGCCTATTTAATTAATATAGAAAGACATAAATAGTAGTGCAATTCTACATCAATCAACATTTATCTTAAAAATTTAGAAAACATTGTTTGGGCCCGTTCAAGTATTACGTAAGCAGATTTATTACAATTATTTACGTATTATGTAAACATTGGTACCAATATGCCTTTTTCCTTTAATGTATTCTGTTTTTTTATTGATTCATGAGCTTTCATGAGCTTCATGACCAGCAGTACTTTATCTTTATCAAAGAATTGTAAGCAACATGCATCATTTACACAAACTGCAAGTTTAATCAGTTGGCATTTTATGTTATTGTTATGTAATTATTCAACGGTTTTTGCTTTAGCCACTAATACATCAAATTGTTTATTAGTCACAAAAGAATATAAGAGTGCTAAAAATATATAAGTCAGCCAAAAGTAAAAAAAAAGACATATTTGCTTAGACTCTTTTGATGAGTATATAAATCTAGCAGTTAAATGCCTAAAATAAGTATAATAAACCTTTTTTTACTTATCAGTCATAGTTGAACAATCAACATATGCGACCTCCAGTGCGACACTGTCACTTATGCATGATATATATATTTATTAAAGTTTTTTGCATACTATTTTTTTTTCCAACACACTAGTTAGCCTAGCGCCAAAGTAAGCGCTGTAGGTTTGTGTTATGGGATACTAGGGTAACGGATAGAATACATACTGATACATTATAAAGATTTTATATAGAAAAATGCATATTAAACATCCATGACTGGAGTACAAATGCTTGTTTTCAGCACACAATCATCTGCCCCCACCGGGATACGTACCCGGGGACCTCTTGAATAGGCGACACCTTGAAACCCGGCAGACAAACCACTCGGCCACAGAGGTCGTCAAATCTTTATTGTTATCTAACGTAAATCAGATCCTTTCTATGGGGATTTCTCATAATTTTGACCATTTTTTATAGGCACAGCATAGAGATGTACTAGAACATGGTTTTGGTGAAGAACTAACAGGTAAAGCTGATGCTGTTTTCCTGGACCTGCCAAGTCCCTGGGCGGGTATCCCTCATGCTGTTGCTGCTTTAAAGGATGAAGGTAAGAAGAACTTTATTCTTTATTTAAAAGAACATTGTTTTTAATTTTGTTTGATTTTCATTGACGTAAGGTAGCCCTTACGCAACTAAACTGAAATCCTTTAGAAATTAAGTGATACTTCCTACAAAAATTATGTAAAGACATTTACAATTACATTAAGCTATAAAATTTTCTCAATAGTTCGTAAATTGTATATTAAGCGATTTAAGCTCAAAGCAAATATATCTACCTATTTTTTTTAATATACTAAGACACCAGTAAAAGTTATGAAATAAGAAAAAAAGGAGAGTAAGTAGTAGTTGACACTAAAAGATGGTTACATTTCTATCTGTGGTCTGCAATATCTGAACTTTATTTCAACGAAAAAGGAAAAAATCTTGCACTAATGTTCATAATTTTTTGGAACATGTGTATTATTGTGTTTTATTGCTTATATTATTATACTTGCGTTTTCAACTTTTCGCTTCTAAACAGTGATTTTCCTCTAGCTTGGCGTACAGCTTTTGTTCTTTCTCTGCCGAAAGTTTCCTCTCCTCAGCTACTTAGTAACTTCAGGCCTATTTCCAACCTTTCTTTCTCAAGTTCTTGAAGCCGATGCTCATCATCAAGTATCCTCTTTGAGGTTTTCCTATAATCTTTTCACTCCTTTTCAGTCTGGGTTTCGCCCTGGACACAGTACCACTACAGCTCTGCTCAAAGTTACTGAGGACGTCGGGATAGGCATGGAGAAATAGTTGGTTACAGTCATGGTACTCATGGACTTCTCTAACGCTTTTAACATGGTTGACCACGATATTCTCCTCGCTATCTTGAAATCCTACAACTTCTCACCAAAGTCACCGTCAACAAGCAGTTTGCATTGGGCAAAACCTTTCAAAGTGGAATAATTTGAATGCCGGTGTACCCCAGGGTGGTATTATCTCTCCTTTGGTGTTTCTACTTTAATTAACTTCCTTTCCTACTCGCTTAGCTGCTCTAACCATTTCTACGCAGACTTTGGCTGAAGATGTTGATATGGCCATCTCCAAGTTAAATTATAAATTGCAACGTATCAGTGCTTGGTCTGCTGACTTTGGAATAAAAGTGAATCCAATTAAATGTCAGGCATTTATCATAGGTGGCTCTAAATAAATAGTCAAAATTGACGAAAGTTCTCTCCGGCCTGTCGTGTATGAAGGCACGATACTGTCGCTTAGTTTAAGTGTAAAATGTCTTGGCTTTACATTGATTCCTCTCTCAGCTTGACCCCACAAATGAAGTAAACCGCAAAATTGTTTACTCACTTCGTTTCTTGAATCCTCTCTCAGCTGGACCCCACAAATTACCGAAGTGAGCCGCAAGATTGTTTACTCACTTCGTTTCTTGAATCGGTTCAGAAATTTTCTCCCCATCAAAACAAAATTCAAGAGTACAAGAGAATTTTAATCGTAAATCGATTAAAATTCTTTTAGGGGTTCCGAACACAAAGGGTAAAAATGGGACCCTATTATTAAGACCTCACTGTCTGTCTGTCACCTGACTGTATCTCATGAACCGTGATGGCCAGACATTTTAAATTTTCACAGATGGTGTATTTCTGTTGCGGCTATAGCAACAAATATTAAAAAAGGAATAAAATAAATAGTTCCCCTCCTCCCCACTAAACAGACAGACGTTATTTTTTATCGTTTTTCGCTCGTGGGTCATTTGAACCACCAGAAGACCTAATTATTACAAAGAAGGACATTAATTAATAAGATTCAGCACTATGCCGTCACTGGTAAGCTGTCCAACTGAGTGCAGGTGGGAATTCAAAAGTACAGATAGAGGGAGTACATTTTGGTCATATTTTTTGTACGGTATTCTTACCATGGACAGATCCATGAAAAATAATAAGAAAACACGTAGTGCCGTACAAAAATAGTGCACCACAATAGTGCAAGTCGTGAAAACTTTTGATATTCCGATGATTTTCAAGCTAAGTTTGGTCATTTGATTCTGTACGGCATCGGTTTCGTACAGTTTCAATACCTCTTATAATTCATTATTTTGCAATGCCGTACAAAATCATGCGAATTGGGGGAAAAATCGAGGGTTGCAACTCCCTCCCCTTCCATGGTCTGGGGGTGATTTGAAACAACATAAAGTTAAATGATTTTGAAAGTATTTTATGCATGGAT